GCTTTCTGGAGGAGGCAACACCTGAGTGGAATCTGATGTCTTTGGTTCAAATACACTTGAATGTGCCTGAAATAGTATACATGCTGCACACGCAGGCACACACACACACACAGGTATTATTGCTTTAACTATGCCCTTTTGGTTCCTCAGTCTGGTTTACTTATAAGTGGAGCTCCTGTCACTGTTGGTAAGGTGACTCAACCACATATTTTGTGGCTCAGGTGTTTCTATCTTTCTTTATTTTTTTAAACCCTTTCTCCCACCTCACCCTCTTCAGCTCCGGTAACTTCAATTCATTTGTCAAGCTCCACTAGTTTATTTTTATTTTGCATTGTCAGTTCATCTGCTTGTTTCATTATATTACCCATGTATGTGAAATCACTTAATATTTGTCTTAATCATTCTGGTTGACTTCTTCTGACTTTGCATAATCCCCTCTAGCTCCATCCATGTTGCTGCAAATGGCAAAATGTGATCTTTCCCTATGGCTGAATAATATTCCATTGTGTGTGCACACATACTTTCTTCCTTTTTTTTTTTTAAAGATTTATTTATCTATTTATTTAATTTATACAAGCACTGGGTACAGTCAGAAGCGCAGGAGGGTGAGAGAATTCACCAGAGCCAGAGTGGGGAGCAGAGCAGGCAGAAGGACCGAAGTACACTGCTGAGGGGAGCAGCGGGCAGCAGGAGAGGTCTGCGCGCCATGTGGGACCCTCGCACAGCTGCTGGGGATTGAACCGGCGCTGCAGGGGCTGCAGGCAGCTTCGCAGCCCAGCGTTCAACCGCTGTGCCACCAGGGGAGCCCCTCTAATTTTAGCTTTTTAAGAAATTAGATCCAGACTGATTTCCAAAATGGCTGCACCAATTTTCATTCCCACCAATCATGCATAAGGGTTCATCTTCCTAGGCATCCTCACCAACACTTGTTGCTAAGAGTCTTTTTATTTATGCCATTCTTTTTCTTTTTTTTTTAAATTTTTTTTTATTCCCTGCCAGAGCAGGGAACAGAACAGGCAGACCGACGAAATACACTGCTGAGGGGAGCAGCAGGCAGCAGGAGAGATCTGTCACGCCACGTGGGACCCTTGCCGGCGGCAGGGGATCGAACTGGCGTTGCAGAGGCTGCAGGCAGCTTCGCAGCCCAGTGCTCAACCACTGTGCCAACAGGGGAGGCCGTATGTATGCCATTCTTAAAGGTATGTATCATATATTTTCTAATTTAGAAAATTATATATATATATTTTTTAATATTTTATTTATTTATTTATACAAGCACTAGGTACAGTCAGAAGTGCGGGAGGGTGAGAGAATTCACCAGCGACAGAGGAGAAAGCAGAACAGGCAGACAGACAAAGTACACTGCTGAGGGGAGCAGCAGGCGGCAGGAGAGGTCTGCACGCCATGTGGGACCCTTGCCCGGTGGTCGGGGATTGAACCAGCACTGCAGAGGCTGCGGGGCAGCTTCGCAACTCAGCGCTCAACCGCTGCTCCACCGGGGAGGCCCAGAAAATTATATTTTTTGTCTGACCATGCTGACTTGAATGTCAGCCTGTGAGGATGGGAAGTTTTGTCTGTTTAGTTCTTTGCACCCCAGGGCCCACAAAAGTGCACACAGTAGATGCTCAGCAAAGTTTGTAGAGTGAAAAAGTGTTAAACTCTTATAATGGCTTTCCATCATGCCCAGAATAAAAGTCAAACCCCTCTCAACTACCCACAAAACTTTATATGATCTACTCCCATCAACTTCTTGTCTTTATTTCTCTGTACCATCCTCCTTGCTCACCCAATTACAACCACCAGGACCTCTCTGCTGGTCTTTGAATAAGTCAGGCATATTATCCTCGCCTCAGTATCTTTGCACCATCTGTTCCAACCACTTTCCTCCATACAAACACATGGCTTTCCCTCACTCCTCAGTTCAATGGTCAAATGTCACCTCTTCAGGAAAGCCCTCCCTGATTCCCTTTCTTATCCCATCACCAGTCGTATCCTCTCAGATTCAGGAAGAAAGGGGCAAAGTCACAAGGATCTTGGTTCCTTCTCCTTTGATTGCTCCCCCCAAGCATCTTCTCTGGCCTCCTCAAACCCTCATGCCATCTCTGCTGATGTCCAAGTGTGTCCAATATTTTTTTAAGATTTATTTATTTATGCATACAAGAACTGGGGTACAGGCAGAGGTGCAGGGCATGAGAGGATTCACCAGAGACAGAGTGGGGAACAGAACAGGCAGACTGACTGAAATACACTGCTGAGGGGAGCAGCGGGTGATTTAGGAGAGGTCTGCTGCACCATGGGTCACAGGGGCTGCAGACAGCTTCACAGTGCTGTGTTTAACCCCTTGCGCCACCAGGGAGGTCCAAGTGTGTCCAATATTAAGAATATAATCAGGTGTCCCAAGTTATTGCTGGGCACTGAACTTGGCACTGGGAACCCAGATGTGTGACCTTGGAGAAGTCACTACTCCTCTCTGGGCTTGGTTTTCCCAGCTATAAATGGAACCAACTGGATCCTCTTCACAAGATTTTTGTGAGGAAGAAGAGAATATACATGGTAGTGGCTTGACACAAAGCCAGCATTCAGTATCTATTAATTATTTCAGAGTGCTCTTAACATGAACAGAAGGGCCAGTAATATCCAATACCTTTTCAGCCATTTACATGTATTTTCTCATTCAAACCCATGAGGTAGGTACTATTATTTGCTCTCTTTTACAGATAAGGAATCTGAGGTTCAGAGAGATTAAGACATCAGACACAGTGGTTAGGTGGAGCAGTATCTGCAGTTGATGGGGTCTCTACTCCCCCTCTTGTGGTCACTCAGATGCTCTCCTTCTAAGCCTCCTGTACTACTTTTTTCTGGAAGTTGGGACTGCCTTGAGATCACTGTTCACACTGTTTATACCACAGCTCACTTAATAGGCACTTATTAAGTGCTTACTGTGTGCTGGGCACTGAATGGGGCACTGAGAACCCAGCAACATACAAAACAGACAAAATTTCTTCCTTGGTGGGACCAACATTTGAGTGGCATATATGCGAGTATAGTGATAACACGGTTGGGGTGATGGGATCAGGGAGAAGAGATGGAATGTGATGGCGAGTAGAGGGAAGTCCTTTCATAGAGAGGGAGTGGAAACAGTCTCACCAGGCACAGAGTTGAAAGAGGTAAAGTGAGAAGACCTTTAGGGGAAGATCATTTCAGGCAGCGGGAACAGCCTGTGCAAAGGCACTGAAGCAGGTATGTGCCTGGTGTGTTGGCAGCTCCGGGAGGAGGCAGGTGTAGCTGGAGTTGAGTGAGAGAGGGAGTGAGTGGGAAAAGAGAAGGTCAGGAGGTGACAGGTAGGCTGTGCAGGGTGCACTGCGCCAGCGTGTGGTCTCAAGTCCATCGCTCAGACCTGGCCTGGGGTTCCCACCAGCTGATAATCCATGGGGTCCAGAGTCATTGTGGATGAACGAATGAATGAATGAATCTATGATTCCATTTGGTTCCTAAGAGAAGATCCTTGTGTTCATTCACCAGCAGGAGAAGTCAAGGGGGAGATGGGGAACATAGGGTTTGAAACCTGCCCCCACCCCACTCCCTGGCTGTGGAAACCTCTCTGTGTTTCAGTTTCCTCATTTGTAAAATATAAGAGCAGTCCCCACCCCAAGGGATGTGACAGGGATTGAATTCACAAAGTTAGTTTGTGTGGTTGTCATCACTGTCATTAGAATAGACGATTTTGGGGGCCTCCCCGGTGGCGCAGCGGTTGAGCGCTGGGTTGCGAAGCTGCCCATGGCCTCTGCGGCGCCGGTTCGATCCCCAGCTGCTCCCCGGCCACCAGAGGAGGGTCCCGCATGGTGCGCAGACCTCTCCTGCCGCCCTCTGCTCCCCTCAGCAGTGTACCTCGGTCCTTCTGCCTGCTCTGCTCCCCGCTCTGGCTCTGGTGAATTCTCTCACCCTCCCGCGCTTCTGACTGTACCCAGTGCATGTACAAACAAACAAACAAACAAACAAAATAAATAAATAAATAAAACATGCCTCTATTAAAAAAAAAAAAAAAGAATAGACGATTTTGGGGGCCTCCCCGGTGGCGCAGCGGTTGAGCGCTGGGTTGCGAAGCTGCCCGCAACCTCTGCAGTGCAGGTTCGATCCCGGCTGCTCCCCGGCCACCGGAGGAGGGTCCCACATGGCGCACAGACCTCTCCTGCCGCCCGCTGCTCCCCTCAGCACTGTACCTCGGTCCTTCTGCCTGCTCTGCTCCCCGCTCTGGCTCTGGTGAATTCTCTCACCCTCCCGCGCTTCTGACTGTACCCAGTGCTTGTATAAATAAATAGATAAATCTTTAAAAAAAAAAAAAAAGAATAGATGATTTTGCATCATTATTCTGCAGTTTAAATTCTCTGCACCGCAGGCAGTGTGGCCCAGGCAATGGACTCAGGCCAAGGTGGCTACAAATCACAGTTCTATCAAAGCCGCATGACCATGAAGCAGTCAGGTTCCCTCCACCACCCACCAAGCCTCAGATTCCCCATTTGCAAAACAGGGGTGGTAACCTTAACTCCCCAAAGTTGTGTGGTCAAAATGTACTGAACATCCAGTGAGAGATGCTTTCTCTTCCCCTTGGCCCCCTTTGCTTGGGGTCCCACAAATACATGATTTTTATAAAAGTAGCAGCCCTTGGGGCCTCCCTGGTGGCATAGGGTTTAAATCTCAGTGCTATCACACTATCACTGCTGTGGCCTAATTTCGGATTTCCAAGCAGGGAGCTACCCACATGGTGCAGCAGACCTCTCCTGTCTCGGCCGCTGCTCCCTTCAGCAGGGTATTTCAGTGGATCTGCCTGTTCTGCTCCCCACTCTGTCTCTGGTGAATCCTATCACCCCTCACACCTCTGGCCTCCACCTCAGTTCTTCGATGCATAAATAAATAAATAAATAAATATTAAAACAAAACAAAACATAACAAAAAGTTACAGCCCTTGGCTTCCACTAGGTGATGCCCAACAAAGCCTCAAGTCACCCCTGGTGGGTGGTTGCAACAATGTGCCTGCTGCAGGCTGCTGTTGTAGTGAGGTAGGTGTGGCCAGCTCTCATCCAAAGTCAGAACCAGAAAAATCTGTGTAGTTCTTCACGTAATAGCACTATAGCTGCAGAAAAAAGAACAAACGCTTGAAGAGTCCCTTTCAAGTATTATGCTAAAACCAATAGAAATCACAGTCACTATGGTTACTGTCTAATGCAGTTACATTATTCCAGGGTCTGTGCTAAATGCCTCCCTTGCTTTCCCCATCAGGCTCAGAGCCCTTCATGAGTCTTTGAAAAAGAGTTGAATTTCTCAATTAACAACAACAATTAACAACACATTTAATGAATGAGCAACATACCTGAATAGACAATTCCCCAAGGGGGCCATCCAGAAAACCAACAGATGTATGGAAAAATATTCAGTATCACTTTTAATGAGAGATGCACATTAAAACCACAAAAAGATATGACCTCGCACCCATGAGAATGGCACTTATTAAGGACCCCACCAACAAGTGCTGGAGAGGATTTTTTTTGTTTGTTTTGTTTTGTTTTTTTTTTATTTTTATAGAGGCATGTTTTCTTTCTTTCTTTATTTGTTTGTTTGTTTATACATGCACTGGGTACAGGCCCTGGAGAGGATTTGAAGAAAGAGGAACCCTAATATATTGTTGGTGGGAATGTAAACTGGTGCAGCCATTGTGAAAAGTGATTTGGACCTACCCTAAGAAACTAATAATGGAAATACTATATGACCTAGAAATCCCACTTTGGGGTATCTATCAAAAGAAAATGAAGCTATTGGGCCTCTCCGGTGGCTCAGCGGTTGAGCGCTGGGTTGCGAAGCTGACCGCATCCTCTGCAGCGCCAGTTCGATCCCTGGCTGCTCCCGGGCCACCACCAGAAGAGGGTCCCACATGGCGCGCAGACCTCTCCTGCTGCCTGCTGCTTCCCTCAGCAGTGTGCTTCGGTCCTTCTGCCTGCTCTGCTCCCCGCTCTGGCTCTGGTGAATTCTCTCACCCTCCTGCGCTTCTGACTGTACCCAGTGCTTGTATAAATAAATTAAATAAATAAATAAACAAACAAACAAATAAATAAATAAATCTAAAAAAAAAAAAAAAAGAAAATGAAGCTATCACCCCCCTCCCGCCCCGCCCCACAAACTGTATGCTCCATTTGTTTACTGAAGCATTATTTACAATAGCTAGGACATGGGAGCAACATAAGCATTCACTGAAAAAAGATTGGATAAAGAAGATGTGGCATATCCACAGAGTGGAACACCATTCAGTTGTCAGGAATTTTTAGCAAAACAGAAGGAGGTCAAGGGAATTATGTGCAGTAGAGCAAGTCAGAAAGATAAAAACAAACGTTGAAAGTTTTCATATATGTGTATATGTATACACACACACGCAGATGAACAGACAAAGCAAAATAATTATAAACTAGTGGACATCCATAAACAAAGTGAGGTTTCTGAGGTTAAAAGGAAGGAGGGAAGGACAAAGGGATATAAGAGGACGTTGTGGGGGAAGCCGAATTCCTCACCATAAACCCACCAAGTCCTGCTCCGAGGCCTGCGTCTACTCCAGGTCCGCGTCTCCTCCACTGCCCTACTTGCCTTTTTACTCACTCAGCTCTAGCCACACTGGTCTCTGTGCTGTTCCTCAAACATACTTAGCATGTGCCAGCCTGGGGGTGGTAGACAGTCTGCTTCCTCCTTTAGGAACGCTGTCACGTCTGCATGTCCCCCCTCCCCGCCCCATTTTACTCAAGTCTCTGTCCAGATGACCCTCTTCTGGGACCCGATTCCTCTTTCTATACTTGTCACAAGTGCATCAGTTAGAGAAGGACTAGTGGTGCTGGTAACAAGCAGCCCCTCAATTTCAGCGCTTCATTTCTCACACTACATGCCCATCACAACTTGGCGAAGGAGCTCTGTTCATCACAATCACCCAGGGCTCAGGCAAGAGGAGTAGTCCCCCTTCCAGTGGTTCCACTGTTGTGGCGAAAGGAAAAACTCTCCAGAGGGCCTTGCACTGATGATGAAATAATTTGGCCCAGAAGTAATACGTGTTACTACTTGCTGCTCACAGCTCATTGGCCAGAACTGGCCACATGATCCCCCCCCCAAAGGGTGCCAGGACAAGCCATTCTACTGCATGCTGAAAATAGGTGACCAACAGCACTTACAAGTAAATAAAACCCTCACTTTCTATGCCCTTTCTCTGCTTTGTTTTTCTTCATAGTACTTATCACCCCAAATATCAGTGTGGCTTTTTTTTTTTTTTTTACTGGAAGTCTTTGCAAGTGTGCATTTATCAGTATTCATAAACGTGAAATACCACAGGCACATTGACTTTAATGAAATACAAGAAATTCAGATATTAACATAAAATAGATTATAGAAATCTCTTGAAACATTTCTTTTTAAGATCTTGAATACCTAGTCAACAAGCCACAGTGTCATAAATATTGTGTTGTATTAAAACTAACTGGCAATTGACATTTCAGCTCCAGGCTATGTCTAGATTGAATGCTAATGAAGCCAAAAAAACAAAAACAAAACTAAAAATCTTCAGCTTTAAGTCCAGTCCCTTACAGTGAAATGCAGGTGATGCAAATGAACTGAAATATCTCAGGAAAACTAATTTTCTCTATCCTGTATTGACTTGAGTCATACTCCTGTAGGGTTCAATGACCAGAAATTACTAATCTATGCAGACACCTACTGGTTGAAAATGCACTTTGTGGCTTCTTGTTTATTTCCTCATTCAAATTTTAGCACCACAAGGCAAAAACTTGGTATTGTGTCCAGCTGTGTCCTGAGCCTTGAATAGCACCCAGTACAGAATAGGTACTCAATAAAGATGGAGCTGAAGGGCTGTGTGAGTGAGTGAGAGATACTATCTACCGTCTAACTTGAGAAGCCAAAGTTGAAATGCAAGTAAGTACCCTACACATTGAGTGATCCTACTGGCCCGAAATGACCCCCTAGCAGTTCCTGCACCCAAGACTCAATGGGAACCACTCCTAGCAATGACCTTTCCCTTCCAGGGACCTCAGGGACTCCCCTCAACTTTCTGCCTCAAGAACTTAAATGACACTTGGAGGCTGGGCTTCCTTCTTTTTTTTTTTTTAATATTATTTATTTATTTATTTATTTATTTATTTATTTATTTATTTATATTTATACAAGCACTGGGTATAGTCAGAAGCGCGGGAGGGTGAGAGAATTCACCAGAGCCAGAGCGGGGAGCAGAGCAGGCAGAAGGACTGAAGTACACTGCTGAGGGGAGCAGCGGGCGGCAGGAGAGGTCTGCGCGCCATGTGGGACCCTCCTCTGGTGGCGGGGGGAGCAGCCGGGGATCGAACCAGCGCTGCAGAGGCTGCGGGCAGCTTCGCAACCCAGCGCTCAACCGCTGCGCCACCGGGGAGGCCCTGGGCTTCCTTCTTAAACACCAAGACTCACCACTGCACACCCCTGAGGATGGCTTCTATAAAAATTAATAATAGGGCCTCCTTGGTAGCGCAGGTTGAGCGCAGCACTGTGAAGCTGTCTGCAGTCTCTGCAGCGCGTGTTCGAACCCCAGCCAGCCCGGGAGATACCCACATGGCACAGCAGACCTCTCCTGTCTCACCGGCTGCTCCCCTCAGCAGTGTTTTCAGTCCGTCTGCCTGTTCTGCTCCCCACTCTGTCTCTGGTGAATCCTCTCACCCCCTGCACTTCTGGCCTGTACCCCATTCTTGTATGTATAAATAAAAATAAATCTTAAAAAAATAATAATAATAACAAAAACAACCATGTGGCAAAGAGAAGCTGGAACCCTTGCACATTGCTGCTGGGAATGCAAATGGTGCAGCCACTCTGGAAAACAGAATGAAAGTACCTCAAAAAGTTAAACAGAATTGCCAGATGATCCTGCAACTCCCCTTCTGGGGATATACCTAAAAGAATTGAAAGTAGGGGCATGAACAGAGATTGGTACACCCATGTTCATGGCAGCATTATTCACAATAGCCAAAGGATGGAAACAACCCAAGTGTCCATTGGTAGAGGACCAAATAAACAAAATGTGCTCCATCTATCCAAAGGAAAATAATTTCGCTTTAAAAAGGAAGAAAATCCTGACACATGCTACAATATGGGTGAACCCAAAGGACATTATGTTTAGAGAAATGTCAGTCACAGGAGGACAAATACTGTATGATTCCACTTATATGAGGCTCATAAAGGAGGTAGATTCCTTGAGACAGGAAGTAGAATGGTGGCTGCCAGGGCTGGGGAAGGGGAGATGGGGAGTTTAATGGGGACAGAGGTTCAGTTTGGGAAGATGAAAATGTTCTGGAGGTGGATGGCAGGGATGGGTTCACAACAATGTGAATATAATGCCACTGAAATGGACACTTGAAAATGGTTAAGATGGCACATTTATGTTATGCTTACTTTACCATTTTTTTAAAAAGTTGTGAATCTCACCTGCTCCATGACCAAGTTCTGTTCTGTGGAATAGTCATCTGGCTCATTATAACTTTCTAAATTCTTCCTCAGAGTCACAAAGTGGCCAAGGCCACTTCTCATGCTCCAAGGTCAGTTCTTGAACCTCAAAGATAGAAAAGGAATCAACAAGCAACACCCCCAAGAGGGATGACGCCCATTTCCCCCAGTGTCACCTTTTACTGGCAGCACACACAATAGCAAGGTGACCCATTTGGTGAAATTTCACGGGTAAAGAGAAGGAGGGCTTACCTTCTGCTTTCTCCATGCCCCCTGGCCCTTGGTCATGGGTCTGCGCAAGAAGAGGACAAGCTCAAGCTACCAACGCCCCATACCCCCTCCCCCACACTCACAGAGTGCCGGGGGAAGAGCGTGGGTCCTGAGCAGAGCGCATCTGGTCGTACCCATCACAAACTGGTTTGAATCATCTGCTCTTTTGAATCGCCCACATGCCTGCTACACCCCCAATTTGGCTGTAACTCTTTTAAAGATTTGAATAGCATCTTTAGCAACTGAATTGCACTCTCCTGCACAGAGGGGAGGAAATTAAATTTTCTATATTTTAAATAAAGGTTTACATTTTTTACCAAAGAGGTGCTGTGGTCACGTGGTTCAAAATTCACAAAATATAGAAGGTAGACCATGCAAAGTCTCCCTCCCACCTTTTCCTCCCAGCCAACAAAGTGCCACCCACCTCACCTGGGTGACTGTTACTGTTTCCTGTGTCCCAAAAGAGATAGTCTATGTGTGTCAAAGCAAGGAAATTCTCATTATTCTCCTTGTTTCATACTCTCATTGTTCTGCATCTGGCTGTTCTTAACAAGCACAGCAAGCTGCTCCTGGGGCCGTGCCTATATCCCGGTGCCCTTGTCATTTCTGAGCATGCTGGCGTGCCACTACCAGCGAGGGAGGGCATCTGTGGCCTCTCTGCTCATAGGCTCCCTGGGAGCAGCCATGACTGAAGGGGAAGTTATGGGTCAGGACCGCAGCTCCCTCATGTCCTCATCCCATAAGTACCTGCGTCCAGCCCAGATCCAGACACCCCCAAGAGGGACCATGCCCATTTCCCCAGCGTCACCTTTTACTGGCAGCATCCCCTTCCCTGCCTCACTTCTCCTGTCCCTATTCTTGGGATCACCTCTCAAATAAATCAGGAGCCTTTCAGTCCTCTCAGAGCTAGCCTCTGGAGAGACACAAATTAGGACAGCAGTCTTTCCTGGTGATCGTCTCCAGCGGAGAGCCCCTCCTTCCACCTCTCTGCTGCCTCGAATCCCTCGTGTGGGTTATACATTAAACACTCCCTATTTTTGATCTCTAGCCCGGCAGCGATCTTGCACACCTGGTATGCATGCCAGCACTGATAAAGCAAGTCCTTGGGAAATTCCTAGAGATGGGATGAGCGGGTCAACGCGTCCCTGCCTAGTCGTTTTGATAGATTTTGCCAAATAACCCTCTTTTTGGAGCCTATTTCAAAACCCCAGCAACTTTCCTTTTTTCCATTCCCACTGACCCCTTCCCCAGTCACAAGCAGGAAAGGCGGTCAACGCCAGCCCGCACCCCGCGGTCGCCGGCGCGCCGGGGTGGGGGCCGGGGCTGTGGCCTAGCTCGCCGAGGCCGGGTGCGAGAGCCGCGCGCGCTCACAGCTGGAGAGAGGCCAGGACCCCCCGGGCCACCGTGATTTCACGGTGAGAATGATGGCAGCCAGGAATAAGAAACACCGGAAGGCATGGAGGGGGTGGAAGGAACTGGGGGCCTGCTCTGCTCGGCGCTCTCGAGCAGGGGTCGGGGCCGTCTGCCCACCCCGGCGCGCGCGCTCGGCGGCGGGAAAGCTCTCCGCGGGCGCGGGGCGGGCGGGGCTCTTCCCTCCCGGGTGCTCTCCCGAGCGCGGCTGCTCGGCGGGCGACGCCCGGGGGGGTGGGGTGGGGTGGGGGTTGGGGGGGTGTTGAAGGCTGTGCGCGCGGAGAGCAGCGGCCTGAGGAGAAGCCGGAGAGGGCGAGCCCCCGGGGAGCGCAGGGCCAAGAAACCTCAGACCCGCGAACGACAGGCAGGGATGAGGGGATGGGGCTGAAGGGGAGATTCCCACAAACGGGCGGATGGGAACCAACGCCTCTTGTTTCCCGTCACTTTCCCCGGTGCGGTGGAAAACAATGGAGACACGCGAGCAGGGGAGAGGTCTCGTTCCTTCAGGGCAAACTGTGGCCGTTTACTGTACCGGGGAGGTGCGCGGGGTGGGGGGCGGGGCGGGGCAAGCGTTCACCCGAGACCGTGGAGAACAGAAAAGGTGGATTTATTGAAATACACGCAAGGGAGCAGGGGGCCAGCTGGAGATATCTGTGTTGGAAGAAGGATTTGAGGCTCTCTCTTACTCTGTTTTTGAGGGCTTTCTTACTTGGCGCATCAGTTTGCACCAGTTGTCTGCTGGGGTGTCTGGTGCAGGGCCATGAATGTCCTGGCCCTGCCTTCCTGGAGCTGGGCTGGTTTTTCTGGTCCTGGTGGTCCATCTTATGGCCCTGTTCCCATAGCAGTCTTATCCATTCCCTCCTCTATTCAAGCCTGCCTGCTGGGCTTAGTTTTTAACCTTATTAAATGATACCCCAACAGAAACCACTACCCTTTCTGGCATTGGTACCCATCCATTTTCCTATCTGTACAATGTAGGGGTGCGGCCAGTGCAAGGGGCCTCAGTGGAGCTTCTTGAGCCTGGATGGGGGCAAAGTAAGGTCAGCTCCTGGCTCCCCTTTCATCTATTTACATTAATGCCTATTATTATTATTTCATTTTTATTAAACTCCGTTTGGTAATTCAGGTTTTGAGTTGCCAGACTGGCCAAGGACTGGGCTTATTTGGCCCCTACAGGGAGAGACAGAAAAGTGCAGTTGACGTTACACACCACTGGTCCTCACAGTCCATGAGGGCATACATGGGTACAAGGCTAAGGTTTGCTTGTGAAACAGATTGTGAGGATTAATATTAATAGTTACATTAGTATCTCCTTGCCTTTGGGTGACTGAGGCAGCTGGAGGACAGATATCCAGCTATCAACCAGTCCTGTCAACTCCATCTTCAGTATCTATTCTGAAACTGCCCATTCACTTTGCACCCCCTCAATCAGGTGTCCAAGTTCCCACTCTCCCCACCCAGTTTTGTCACCCCATGGCTGTTGCCCATGTGCACCTGAGTTAGGGCAGAACCGAATCCCAATGCCATCAAAATGACTTGTTTTTTCTGAGGTCTCCCAGGCTTTGGAAGGACAAATGCTGATGGGATTTGCCAATGGGCAGGATGTAATATGTGTGAAAGAGAACTCTGGCTTCTTCAAGTTAAAGAGTAGATAAAATAAAGCCACATGCTATTGAAGATAAAATGAAATGCTGCAGGCACAGTACCTGCCCAATAACTTTTGTTGAATGGACAGATTAGAAAGAAAATGAGAGATAATGGAGTTTTAGGGAGGAGAGTGGAGCAAGGTGTTTTAATGATCCAGGTCGGCTATGCTCTGGGAGAATGGGGTAAAGAGCTGCGTGAAATCCACAAGTTAAAAATATTGGAGTTTTGGGGCTTCCCAGGTGGCACAGGAGTTAAAAACAGCACTATCAAACAATCGCCAGCCACTGCCACATGTTCGATCCCCGGCCAGGGAACTAACCCACATAGTGCAGGAGACCTCTCCTGCCTCGCCCGCTGCCAGTGTATTTCAGTAGATCTGCCTGGTCTGCTCCCCACTCTCTCTGGTGAATCCTCTCACCCCCCACACCTCTGGCTTACATTCCAGTTCTTGTATGCATAAATAAATAAATCTTTAAAAAAAACTGGAGTTTTGCAGCAACACAATGGAGAAAAGAAACAACACCGGAGACAGATTAAATCTGCTGGCATAATCCACTCAAACAAGAATCTAAGGGAGGGCCTCCCTGGTGGCACAAGGGGTTATGAAGCTGTCCGCAGCCACTGCAGCACGAACTCAATCCCCTGCCAGGGGGCATAAATAAATAAATCTTAAAAAAAAAAAAAGAATCTAAGGAGAAATGGGAAAAGACAGACAGGCTGGGCAAGGGACTTCAAGAAGATATATAACATAAGCAGTGGTGTCTGTAGGATAATACTTGAAAGTTTTATGCTTTTATGCCACATGTACTTGTACATGCATGGTGATTACAGCAGTGTTGTTTTAGCGGGGACATACTAATGGGCACTGGAACAGAGTAGTATGCCCAGAACAGACAAAGCATAAGAGAAACTAGTATAGACAGAGGACCACTCAGTAAGGAGGACAGTGTGTCACCCAAGTAGAAAAAAAAAAAAAAATCAAACCAAATCCCTACCCCACGCCATACAGATGATCAAACTTTCAAAGACTAAAGAGCTAAATGTGAGAAAGCCAGGCTTACAATTATGGGAAGAAACATAAGAGAGTATAATTTATGACCTTGGGTGGCAGAGGAATTCTGCATGAGAGGTGTCATAAAGGAAAAGATGGATGCATATGGAGCCATTAAATGAGACACCATAAATACAGTAAGATACAGGATGCTGACCCAAAGGTTTTGCAACACATGCAAGGAAGAATTTGTACATGAGGGTGTAGTTTTAGGGATTACGTGCAGACCAGACTTACAAACAAGAGTGTGCCTCTACTTTCTTTGGTTGTTCCATACTACCCTGTAAAACCAAGCAGTAGTATGATACAGTCCGTCACCAAGCACAAGTAGCCAAAGTGCAATAATGCATGTAGAGGGCAGCCCAAGGATCCTAATGAGGGCAGCTCCTCTGAATTGACATAGATGCCCCGGCCACTCAGGACTATACTACATATCTTTAAAACAGAATTCAGGGCCTCCCCTGGTGGCACAGGCGGTTGAGCGCAGCGCTTTGAAGCTGTCCGCAGCCTCTGCAGCGCCGGTTCGATCCCAGCCAGCCAGCGAGGGTCCCACATGGCACAGCAGACCTCTCCTGTCTCTCCCACTGCTCCCCTCAGCAGTTTATTTCTTCAGTCTGCCTGTTCTGTTCCCCATTGTGTCTCTGGTGAATCCTTTCACCCTCCCGCGCATCTGTCCTATACCCCAGTTCTTGTATAAAAATAAATAAAATCTTAAAAAACACACACACACAGAATTCAGACAGGGAGCAAACTCTTCTGGCAGAGGGTGGGGGAGATGCAAAAGCCAATAAAATCAACAAAAATATTTTAAAATTATAATACCTGGAGTTGGTGAGGATATGGAGTAACATTCTCATACATTGCTGTCAGATAACAAACTCTTTGTGTGTGTATGTGTGAGAGAGAGAGAAAGAGAGAGAAAACTTTTCAATTCATTCTTAAAGGATTAAAGATTTCATGGTAAAGAATTTTACCTAGAAATTCCATTCCTGGATATTCAGCTGAAGAAAAGTAGTCACATATGTGCCTTTGCATAAGGATGCTTAGGATATTTGTTAAGAACTCACCATCGAAAATAACACAAGCAACAATAATACAGGTAGGTGAATCACTATACAGTCATACAATGGAATCCTACACAGTTATTTATTTTTTTTTAAGATTTATTTATTTGTTTGTTTGTTTGTTTATACAAGAACCAGGGTACAGGCCAGATGCACAGGAGGGTGACAGGATTCACCAGAGACAGAGCCGGGAACAGAACAGGCAGACTGACAAAATACACTGCTGAGGGGAGCAGCGGGTGAGACAGGAGAGGTCTGCTGCGCCATGTGGGACCCTCGTCAGCGGGCTGGGATTGAACCGGTGCTGCTGCTTGCGCCACCAGGGGAGGCCCTACACAGTTATTTAAATGATGCTGTAGGACAGGGGTCGATAATTTTTTTTCTGAAAAGCCCCAAATATTTTGAGTTTTGCGGGTGACAAGGTCTGAAATGACTCAGTTCTGCCAGTGTAGCTCGAAAGCAGTTTTTGTCCACAATCCATAAACAAATTTACTTTATTTATAAATACATTTTATCTATATGCAAGGCTGTAGTTTTTGACCCCTCTTGTAAGGGGACGTATATTGAGATGGAAAGATGTTTTTAATGCCTTAATATGCTTTTTGAAAACTAGATTGTCCCAATGGAGTTGAAAAATGATGTGCACATAAAACTTTGCATATAGAACCTTCTAGCGGTTTTATTTGTAACTGTCCAAACTCCTCAGAAACCAAGATGGCCTTCAGCAGGTGAATGGATCAAAAAATGTGGTCCATCCAACAATGGAATATTAGTCAGTGCTTAAACAAAATGATCTATCAAGTCATCAAACACGTGGCATGTAGCAAGATGTTCATGGAGGGCAGGCTCTCTCCTTGAACCACGGGCCACGCGTTCACAGCTAGGAGTGTGTCCGTCCACTTTCTTCTTTAAACGGTAATTTGAAATAAGGAGCCTCACAGAGCCAGGCGTAGAGGACCAAAAATATGGGGCACGAGGGGGGCAGAAAAAACTGGGACGTAAGGGAGCAGGGGGAAATGCAGGGTGCAGAGGAGGGCTGGGAAAGTGGGCTCCAGGGAAGGCAGGGGAATGGGGGAACATAATGGGGCGGGGAACCGGGAGGCACAAGGAGTGCTGGAAATGAAAGGCAGAGGGGAGCTGTACTCACCGGCGCCCAGGAGCACCTAGAGTTCAGCCCCAGAGGCTCCATCCGGAACTAGTGGCCCAGGAGGAAGCGCCCCCGCAGCCTCACCCTCCGAAGCTCCGCCCCAACTTCGCTGCAAGGCCTTGGTGCTGGTCCCGGCCTCGCCCTCCCTCTGGCGGCGGACCGCGAGCGCTCGTCCCTGGCTGCCGCGTCTCCCCGCCCGGTGTGTCCAAGTCACCTCAGTCGGTGATGGTGCACAGGTGCATTGGGGAAGGAAATACTGTGGGGATTACACCTGAGGGGGTGGGGGGAAACAAATACTGTTTAAAAATGAACAATGATGTAAAAAAATTTTTTTAAAAGAAAAAGAAAAAAAACCTCAAATTACCCCCAAAAAAATAAATAAATAATAAGCCTCAGCCCCAGCTCAGTTGCGGCTCACGGCTCAGTTGCCCAGCGTAAACAAATGGAGGGACAAGCCTCACCACCAACACACTATTAATGCAACGAGACAGAATTGCTTATGCACCTGCCTATCATAAATGCAAGACGTTTGGCAAAAAAAAAAAAAAATGCACAAAACCAATGCAATTTATCATTAAGAGTTCAAAAGTTCGAGAAAACACTGAAAAACTCCTGTTGCAGTAGCACTGCAGAGTCATTAGGAAAACACTGAAGTATCACTGTAGAAATAACAGAAGAGCCACTTTAATAGTTCCTTAATAGCAGATCTTAGGGTGTGTGGAGATAGTTCTGATTTTATGTTTTAGGAAATGTTTTTATATTTTTATATTTTAGGAAATGTTTTTTAAAAGCACGATTTCCAAGAATATTGGATGTCTTAATACATTCACACGTGTATACACACAAACACATGCACACACACACACACACCACACATGGAATATTTATGTGGTGTTCTATGCCCTGTCCTTATATTGGTGTTTCGGTGATCAACTGCAGTAACCCCAGACTCAGGCAGATCTGAGCAAGATCTCAGTTTGTACATTGCAGCCGGCCCCGCCCTTCCAAGTCTTGGAGGGGCCTAAAGAAAGGTTCCCCTGTTCCATAGTTCACATAAAATCTGCAGCACTGATATATTTGCACATTTAGGCCCCCCAACACTCAGATGCACCCCTGAGAAGGAGACATTTTGCTAAGACGCTTAGTCTTAGTAACAATCACTGGAGAAGGAAGTGACAAGTCAGAACCCACCATCCAACAGAAAAGTCTAAAGCCCACGAAATAAAGGTGCCTGTCTGTTCTGAGGCTCATCTACTTCTTGGACATTGTTCCCAGGTGGTACACCTTGGTTCTCCCCTAGGATGGGTGTTGCCATGTTGTCACACCATGAGCTATAATCTTTGACAAGATGGCAGAGTATCATGATTATAGTGACTGTCTTTGATGCCAAAAGAAAAAGAAACAGACTGCATTTCCACCTTTGAAGACTTTTTTTTTTTTTTGGCTTGATGGTTTTAAAAATTCCATTTGTCTTTTTCACATTCTGACTTATTTTTAAGTCTGTGCTCTGAGTACTGGGAGTCTATAGCTTGGGAGGGGTGGCAGGGAGCCCTGTATCCTGTAGGACACTTTTTGCTCTCCCCCAGTCCTTACTACATAAAAATCTGAATTTTCACCCATTTGGTCCAGCAAAATTTCTGAAGGGAGAGGAGTAAATCAAGGCACACCATCAGATCCTGGATGGTACTCAAAATACTCAGCCACAAAGTACTGCCCAGGCAATAAGCTGGCAAAGCAGAGTCTCAGGATGTTGACCCTGTAGGACTTGGGAAGTCTGGGGGTCCTGGGCAGAAGCCACTGTCAGACCAGTAGGTACAGCCAGTACTCCTCAAGGGGGATCCTGCTCTTGTTGACAAGTGCTTTTAGGTTATAATTTCTTTTTTGACCTAGTGGTTGGTCCCAAGGCAGTGCTCACTCTTTGCACCGCACATTCCTTAAGTTTCTCAGCTTAACCTGGAAAGCTTTCAGAGATTTTACTTGGAGAGATTAACCTGTAACAAATGGGACTTTTCAAAGCAAGTGGGAGTGTTCCCCTTCTAGGAATTTCTACTACAGTTTTATTCCAATGTACGTAGATCAGGAGTCAAACTTTTTCCAGAGAGAATCAGAGAGTTTGGAAGCCATGCCATCTATGTGCACTTCAGCAGTGGTAGTATAGAAGATATGTAAATGAGTTCTTGACAAATATGTAAACATATGCAAATAAATGTGCAGGGCTGCCACAATAAGATGTTTACAAAAACAAATGTCAAGGTATAGCTGGGCCAACACCTATCCTAAAGCCTAGTTTGAAGTGTGAGTGGTGGAAACAAAGTAAATACCTTGTACAAGGCATGGTCCATATGATTAAATATGGAAAATGTTATGAACTGAATTGTGTCCCCCCAAATTTATATGTTCAAGTTCTAACCCCCAATTTGATTGTATTTAGACAGGCCCTAAGGGAGGTAATTAAGGTTACATGAGATCAAAATAGTGGGGCCCTGATCTGATAGGACTGGCGTCCTTATGTGAAAAAGAGACACCAGAGAGCTCTTGTGAGCACAAAGAAAATGCCTGCAAATGAGGACACAGAGGTAAATAGAGCTAGGAGAGGACCCTCACAAGAAAACAACCCTGGCTCCTTGATCTTGGATGTTTAGACTCTAAAATTGTAAAAAAAAATAAATGACTGTGGAAAGATGAAATCTCACCATTTTTGATAACATGGGTGTCCCAAAGGGTGTGATACTTAGTGAATTAAGTCAGTTATGTGGTACGTAGAAGAACAAACCAAAAGGATGAACTACATAAAACAAAAATAAAGTTTTTGACTATAAAATCAAATTAGCAGTTACCAAAAGGGAAGGGGGAATGGGAGTGAATAAATTGGGTAGGATGGATCAATTGTTTGGCAAAGGATAGAATTAGATTTGTGTGGTGAACTTAATGTACTGTATACGGATGTGTTATAATGAGGCACACCTGAAATATACATATTTTTGTAAACCAATGTTATTGCAAAAAAAACTTAAAGGAAAAAATATTTGCTGGTTAAGACACCTAATCTGCTGTTTTGTTGTGGTAGTCTAAACTAAGGTTAAGGTCACGCTGCTGGAAAATGAACGCAGAAGAACCAAAGGTACTCAGGTATTGAAATGAAAAGTACTCCAAGTTACAGTCTTTTAAGTAAGAAATAGGTACAGAGTCACTTGTATGGAATGGATGAATGACATTGTGATCTAGCCACACAATGGAATATTATTCAGTCATAAAAAGGAATGAAGCACTGACACATGCCACCAAGAGAATGAACCTCCAAGACATCATGCTGAATGAAAGAAGCCAGACACAAAGGTCACATATTCTGAACCCATTTATATGAAATGTCCCGAACAGGCAAATCCATAGAGACAGAAAGGAGACTCATCATTGCCAGGGACTGAGGGAGGGGATATGGGGAGTGAGTGACTGCTAATGGTTGCTTTTGGGGGTAATATCTAGTTTCGAAACTAGATAGAGGTGGTGTTACACAACATTGTGAATATACTAAATACCTCTGAATTGTGCACTTAAAAATGGCCAATTTTATATTATGTGAATTTCACTTCAATTAAAAAAAAACACACACCAGTCACAGACCTTCTCCATAAAACCAGAAATGCTACAATCCTTCCCAAACAACTACAGACACATGGTATTTGTTGGGAATCCCTGAAGGAGGTTGCCGCGGACCAGCACAGCAGTAGACGATGAGGCCACCTCAGGGTTGAGAGAAGCGTGCAGGGTGGTCAGGGCGTCGGTGAAAGAAATGACAAACAGACACACTTCAAGAGTGAAAATCTGAGTGTAATTTTCTTTGAGTTTGTGACCAGTATATATATGTTTTCCAAAAGCACAGGAACAATGAATATCAATGAAATCAGCTTGCTCATGGGCTCAGCCTATCACCAACTGGGTGGTGATCTACATCTGGACTCAGCCTCATTCCTAAGTAGATAGACCATTAGTTTTGTTTTTAAACTATATAATCGCATTTTTTATTAACTACTTTTTTACCTAAACTATATTTTAATTATTACAGGGTTTAGTAATGTTTCATTTGAGTCAGCCTTGTTTTAAGGATTTCATATGATTTTTTAATTAACAAGCAATGACCTTTATAGAAGAAAGAAGGAAGGTTAGAAAGACAATAAGGGATTGAAGTTTGTAGTTCTAGAAAGACGGGATAAGGTTTTTCAGCATTCTTGTAGTGGTTCCTGGTGGTCGTTATCTTTTGATAAGCTTCTGTCTTTTCAGGGAACTTCGCTGCACTTCCCCTGCTTCAGGGTGTTATGCTGTTCTCCCCCTGTGCGCTGGTTGCCCAGCCGGACCTAGGGACAGTTAGCCCTAAAGGTCACTGCAGGGGGAGGTGCAGCAGGAGGTCATACTGTCATGGGTTGGGCCCTAACATTTTGTTCAGATCCTAGTGTCTCCAGTTGCTGGCCAAGTGACTTCAGCCAGGTCTTAGATTCCTCACCTGTCAAAGGAGATAGTGATATCACCGTCCTCCCAGGATCTTTGTAGCCCCCCTCCATTACTCCATGCAATAGGCTTAACATGTGACAAGACCTCAGTCAATGCAAGCCAGAATTGTCATCTTTTTAAATTTGTAAATATCATTTCAAGGGAAGTTCTAATCACAGAATGAATATGCTTTTACCTTCTGTCTTAAAAGAACAAATCCTCAAAAAATTAAGCATAGAATTATTGTGTGTTCCAGCAATTCCACTCCTAGATGTATGCCCGAAGAATCAAAAGCAGGTATTTGTACCTCAGTGTTCGTAACAGCATTATTCACAATAGCCCAAAGGTGTAAACAACCCAAGGGTCCATCCATGATGAATAGGAAAACAAAATATGGTATGTGCATGCCATGGAATATAACTCAGTCTTTAAAAGGAAGATAATTCTGACACATACTGTTAGGGGGTAATGATGTCCTGAGGTAATCTCATACAGGCTTTGTGGACTCCACCCCACTCCAGACGACTAAAGCCATCAGGACATTGGGAAAGACAAAT